TACACATGTAACCTCACTCTGCCATTTACCACGCTATTGTTCGGGGACTGGAAAAGTTTGAAAGTTTGCCTATTTAAGAGAACTCATTATACTACGAATATTTATTCCCAAGGCACTGTGGAACGTGATTCACCCCATGCATTGTGAGACTGAGTTTTGACATGGGTGTTGCAGGCACTGACCTGCTCTTTAGCCTGACTCCAGCCTCAGTGAGCCTGGACAGAAGATGATATAACACAACTTGTCTCAGAGGTAAAGGCTCGCACACCTCTGCAGATCTGTGCCTGTACAAGCCAGGGCAGGTTGTATTTACCAAGGAAGGCATGTGACAAAAGGTGATGGGAAGAGGAGACTGGGTTACGGGAAGCCACAGAGGGAGGCTTTATTATTTTTCACTTGGTATGCAGTTGAAACACTTGCCTGCACACACCCACACAGATCTCAAAGTCTGGAAAGGGATAGTTTGGGTCAGGTCAGGCAAAGCAAAGGACACACATTACTGCATTTATTATTTGTCACAATATTTACTTATGCCTTCTTGCACTGCATATTGTTCTATGTCCCAGGGATACAAGCATGACAAACGTGAGTGCGTACCCACGCAGTAGTTTAGTTTTGTAACTCTTTTTCTGTTTTGCTTGTGGATATTGAAATGGAGAGGCATGTTCAGAGGAAATAAGGGTGAGAAATAAGAAAGATGGAAAGCAATGCTGTCTGCTAAATGTAACAGGCACTGTACTGGGTGTCACATGAAGATTAGCTAACTTTATCCTGCAGCATTTTACAGATGAGGTTAAAAGAGTTTGCTGAGGGAGGGTCACAGCCAGTTAAATCCGAGCATCAGAAATTTTTGGATTCCAAGAGTTTATCATTTTTCTTTTATATCCCACTGCCACAAAAGAGAAAAATAAAACCAGAAAGCAGGCATTTGAAAACTTTCTTCTAATATTTGCTTTAAAATTTGTTAATTGCTGAACAGTTTGAGTACATGTGTTCATTTAGTTTTTAAAATTAAAATCAAAATTATGTAGCACTGCAGATCTCCTATCAGTTTAGTGATTTAGTGAATAAAATGAATAAGTATTTCTGTTCTGTAAAAGAATCCTCATAATATGTCCAACATGTGTTTTGGCAAAGTTTTTCACATCCCTTTTTACTTATGAGAAAAAAACCCAAATAATGTGGCAATATTGTTTGAAAATTTTCACATCCTATTTCACAGAACTTTTAGTCTTTGAGTGTACAAAGCATGATTTTCTTTTAAAAATTAAAATTAGGCCAATCATATGATACATTGACATCTCTCTGCATTTTGAGTCTTTCCCCATACACCACCAGGACAGTGCACCATTACATTCGTAATAATCTCCCCGGGTTTGGCCCTGCTTGTTGATCTAAGATCTGAGCCTCACTGACAAGGTCACTGATTTACTGGCGATTCCCCCACCCCAGATTGCCCCACAAACGCAAGTCAATGAAGATCCAGGCTATTTTCAACATGGGCCCAATATCTGCTGTCTTTACGTTCACTAGACCCACTCCTCACTGACCCTCCAAGCCACGAGAGATAGATGGAATACTTGGTGTACAAAAGCTGCTTGGGCCACTGAATCAATCAGAAATCTTTGAGGACCGTCAGAGAAGTGTTGTTGCTTTTTCAGTGCCCTGATCCGGGTGTTATAAACATGTCTTTTTGGATTTTCATTTGCTTGCTTTGTGTGCCAGATGAATCTAGCAAGGCTGAAACAACAGATAAATCCAAGAAAGCGATACCATATTCACTTAGATCACCTCTCCCTTCATTCTGGACTGCCTTTTCTATCAGAGAATACTCTCCTAATGATTGCCCAGTCTCTTTACAAACAGGCTTCTGTAGCGTCCACCCTGAAAGTTTACTAAACATGCACAGGTCTGCGTGGTGTACTCTTCAACTCAAGTTAGACCACACCGCACTGTGTACTACCCCCTGGAAACCGAACATCATGAATATTATTGTATTGACTCTTGACAACTGTTCCATGAAGAAAGAATAGTATTTCCATGAGTTAGCTGAGGCTAAAGAGGATAAGTGATTTGTCTAAGGATATGGAGAAAAAAAAATGACAGAGATGAACATTTACAATTCAAGAAGTCAAGTTTAAAACTCTACTATGGCATTATATGCTAGTTAAGAGACAGCAAATCCAACAAATAACTTAGCAAATAGTTTAGCTTTTTTCAAAAATACTATCTAGAAATCCTCATCCTTATATGTTATATAAATAACCCAGAAAGCCCAGGTTTAGACACAGTTGTATCCAATCACATCATTAAGACCAATTGTTCTCATTTTCACTTTTGGATCATCAGTACTCACATAGCAGAAATGATATCAGATTTGAAAGAAACCCATTAATTTCATGGAGTCTGACTATAAATCTGCAATGCATTTTTCAAATTATGGAGTCACAGTTTTTCTAGACCTCTGGGTTAGAGTATAGTTTCTTATGTGGATCACATTATTTACTAAAGATTGGACTAAGGTTTTTAAAAGAAAATGAAAATATTTCCACTTTCTTTTTAATGACCAATTAAAATTTTTGCTCCATGGGATTATTTTATAAGTGTGGGATTATTAAGTTATATAAGTTACATAAGTTATATATGTCTTCATGAAATAGCAATTAATAGCACATGATTGTTATGAAATACAAAAGCAAGCTAGCACTGTACCTGTCTGCAGTTACACACCGTATGTGATCAGTGTGCCTCTGAGCACTCATATGCATGCACACGCCCTGTGGGGTAGCAGTCGAATGTTTCATGTGGGTGGTCTGAGACAGGCTAACATAAGCTACTTGTTCAAATAAACCTATTGGTTTTCTCTTTGAGACTATGCCAGGAAGAGAAGCTAGTAGCTATCTTGAGAGTTTTTTGTTTCCTGGTGCTTATCAGCAACATAATAAGCTGTTGGAGTAGGGGCTATTTTTGTGTGGGAGAGACTAGTAAAACTGTAAAAGCACACGCTAAAGTGCTAAAGGTTAAGATCATATACCTAATTTTAGAATGAGAAATAGCATATCACGGATTAAAATTCTGCCCAGTATTTTTATAATAAATACACACACACATAAATGTATGATCTGAGTTTGATAACAAAAGTGCCAATGCATATCTTCGTGCCCTTTTGGTCTCCTACTATATATGCCAGCTACTATCATGCAGAGGTTCTTTGGAGCTTCTGTAGGATATTTCACTGCTTCCTGTCATCTTCAGTTTACTGGAATTTTGCACTTAACCTCACAGATTACTCCATAGAGGATTTCTATAGTAAAATCATACAGAGGTCTTCTTTCAAATTTTGCTAAAGCCAGGAGATTTCCGTATAATGTGTAAAAGTTTGTCAAGGTATAATCCATTCAATCCCAGTGGTAGTATTTGGTAAATAATTTTCAAGACTGAAGTTCAAATTCATGTTGTAAAATATGCCTTCAATTTCAGGATCATATATAGTAATAAGACTTAAAATGAACATTATAGTTTTAAAATATTCATTTACATATTGAGGGAATTAATCTATATTAATGCATTTATGCTGAAGATTGGAACATTCTGAATTTTTTCATAAAATGCATATATGTTATCTAGAAAAATTTAGAGAACAAGAATTTGAAGAGAACATATTACATTCCATTGTTATAGCCATTCCAAAATTGGACCACTAACATATTATATGTCACATTAGTAGCTGCAAATTCCTTGTTTTACCTTTTGTTATCCCTGTTTAATAAAAAACAACTTTTATGAATCTTTCTATTTTTAAAAATTTTATTTAAGGAGAAAAAGAAAAAAAAAACAAAAAGGGTACAAGTTATACAGAATTTCAGAAAAAATAAACGGTAGGAAATCACTAGTTAATAGATTACATATTGTCATCTTAGAAATAGTTGTTCAAGTTACAAAATTAAAGCATATAAAGTGGACATTCAAACAGTGAGACTGAAAACAGTTTACTTTTATGAATCTTTCAAGATCAAAGATAAAACGTGACAATCTAGATATTACTAGACTGCCATGCAAAGCCATACATAAAGTAAAAATATTTATAAGATACCAAATACTCTGAAATGAATAAATATTCCAAATTTTATTATATATGGTTTATCTTTCTTTGTCATATAAAATTCTTTTATCACATTTGTATGATATGATATTCATATTGCATTCACATTCCAAAGGAGATGTATTTACCTAGCCTCTGGGCTATAGATATATCACATAATATAAAGTAAAAATGGTTATGTATGAAAAACTAAGGCTGGCAGACAACAGATCCTTTCATAGAGATACAGAAATGCCAGCCAGCTAGTGAAGTTCATGACTCGCTGCTGTAGGATAGACATCTAGTTGGAAAGCAGCTGTTGAGTCAGGCACTAGAGCTCTCTACATTTAGGTGGAGGCAAGGGAGAAGAGCTTACAATGGAACCACGAGCACAAGCATGGTCAAGAGCATTTTGTTCCTCAACTTTCTATGCCTCCTGCCTCCTCAGTGGAGAATGAGGCCACAGTGATTGCGGAATCATGAGATAGAGATCATCTGGGTCTCTCAGTAACCCAGCTACTATAGTTTAGACTAGTGCCCCCAAAGGTCCACGTGTTAACAGATCTGTTTCCCTCTTCCTCTTTCTATCTTAGTTCATGAGGTAAATGATTTGCTCTACCACAAATTCTGCCTTGATCAGTTGCTTTTCCAGGGGCCCAAAGAAAATGACACCAATCCATCATAGACTGCAACCTCCAGTCTATATCAGTGACCCCAAATCATTTATTCTCTGTTAATTGATTTAAATATCTCACTATAGTGACTGGAAGTTGATTACTTACACCTGTTATGAACTAAAAACTGAAGGTCAACGTAATATCAGCCGAATTAAATCAGCATGGTGCTGAGTGTAGATGTTCCACCTGAGGAAGACTGCCAGCATAAATAGAGACATGGCGAAGGCTAGGTGTTACGGGTTCTCCTATGTGCTGCTATTTGAGCCATTGATTCTCCTGGAGGAGCCTGTCATACTGGATCTCGAAACCTTGTTGGTGAGAGTGGCTGTGGTTCACTTTGGGGGAGCTCTGGTCCTTACATCGAGCATGACTTCCTGGCTCCGGAGGGGAAGACGTGTGCTCCTTAATTTCCAGGACAAACTTGGTATACTGGCTTTCTGGCATGTACTCAACTGTACTTATCATCGAGGAGCTCAGGGCCTCCATGTGCTCAGGATGCCTGTGCTTTTCAGGACAGTCCTGGTCTTTATTGGAGCATGACTTCTCGGCTCCAGCGTAGAACACTCAACCTACCCCCACAGCTCCTTCACCCTGCTGGCATAAACTTTCTAGCTTCCATCACTGACCTTTGGGCCTTCCCAACACAGATCTGTAAAAAAGACTGGCATGAGTCCTTCTTGTGGGTGCTAGACTTCAAGCTGGACTCATGGGAGGCATTGTCATGAGCTCTAGGTTTTCATCTAGACTCATGTAGGACATTGCTGTGGGATTCAGGCCCTTGGCTCAATATTCTGTGTCCTGAGTGTTGTGGATAAATTTCCTGCACTTTCTTGTAGTAACTCTGGGTGACCATCATAAAATAACATTATAAATTCTATGTCCTGATTCTAATTGTTCTCTGTACAACCCCTGTCTACAACAGCAGCTATGAAGCAAATCAACCTACTAGAAATACCCAGGGCAGACTGCTGTATTACTGAAAAATAAACTTCAGTCATCACCATTGAAATTTTGGAGTTAATGGTAACAGCTAGCATTAGTTGACCAGTACAAAAATTCAGGATAAATTTCAATTAAGGAATTATTATGTGATCGATAAAACTATCCTCTAAATGAATTTTAATTATGAAAATATTGTAAATAAATTACTTTAAAATTATAATATCAACTAAACGTGTATTTCCTTTGTTTTCAGGGAGGAGAGATATAAAGCTGACTTTTCTCTAATTTGTTGATGGAATTAGTTACCTAAGTTTTATTTCACTTTTTAAAGAAATGAAAAGTAGCATTCCTACTTTTCACACTTTAAAGAAGGGATAAGTAAACTGTATCCTTGATATACTTTATAGATAGAGCTCTGTGATTAATTATGCATTATTTTACTTTGCTTTGAATTGCATGAACACAGCTTTGGCCTGAATAATATCATGAACTACAGAAGTGCTCTTTAAGCAAACTGGAATTTTTGGAAATCTTTTAATTACATCTTAATCATTTTATTAACAAATAACTGCATAAAATTATGATGTACAACATGGTATTTTCAAGACTAAGTCAAGCTAATTAATATTTCCATCGATTCAAGCCATATATATATATATATTCAAGTCATATATATATATATGCATATATGTGTGTGTGTGTGTGTGTGTGTGTGTGTGTGTGTGTGTGTGTGTTTTAAAATTTGCACCAGTGATGGAACTCAGGACCTCATGCCCACCAGGCAAGTGCTGCTAGCTAAACCCCTAGCCTTAATACTAAATATTTTTGTGATGAAAGCATTTATAATCTCTCTTAGCAATATTTGAGTAACTATATATTAGTATTACAGTCACCATGCTGTACAGTAGATCTTCTAAACTAGCTCCTCCTATCTAACTGAATGAAATTTTACTAATATATTCCCTTTCCCTGTCTGGAAACGTCACTCTTGGCCCCTTGTTAATCACAAACTCAAGAGTTTTGGGTTCTACATGTTCAGTGAGAATATGAGATATTTGCTTTTTTGTACCTGGCTAATTTCACTAAGCGTGACATTCTCTGGCTCGGTTCATGTTGTCACAAATAGAATTTTCTTCATTTTAGAAGCTGAATAGTATTCCATCATGCACCTGTGCTGTGTTTACCTTATTCATTTATGGACAGTGAGTTCAATTCCATACTTTAGGTATTGTGAATATTGCTGCAATGAACCTGGGAGCACACACATTCCTCCAACACACTGTGCTTCACGGTGGCTGTACTAATTACCTTCCTACCAACCGTGCCCCAGTGTTCCTGTTCTCCAGGTCCTTACCCAGTTTATTTCCTCTGGTTTTGTTTTTGGTAAAAGTCATTTTTAAAGGTGTAAGATAGTGTCACATTTGCACTTCCCTGATGATTAGTGAGGACTTTTTCATACATCTGTTGGCATTTTATATGTCTTCTTTTGAGAAATAATCTGTTCAGGTCCTTTTTCCATTTTTAATTGGGTTATTTATTTTCCTATTATGGAGTTGTTTGAATGCCTTATATACTTTGAATATTAACTCTCGGTGCATATATTGCAGATATTTGTTCCCATCCCATAGATTCTCTTTATTTTAGGTGCTATGCTTAACTCCAAAATTTCAGTGGTGGCATTCTTTCCTTTCAGAAGCTTTTAAATTTCATGCAGTCCATTTGTCTATGTTTTGTTTTTGTTTTCTGTGTTTTGTGGATCACTGGTTACATGTGAAAAGCAACCTCAGCATCTCTGAATGTGTGGATTCCCACCACATGCGTCTGTGTTTACATTCTCAGTTTTGGCGGCCAAGGGCTAGAATCCAGAGATGCAGATCTAGCTGAGCAATTCCTGTCTGGGAGACTTGGACACCTTACCTCTTCAGCCTCAGTTTCTACATTTCTACAATCTGTAGTCTGTAGACTTTTTGTGAAATTGAAATGCGATAATGCATATGAAACTGTCTTTTAACCTGTAAATCAAAACTTAATTATTGTTTGTTGTCATTGTTTATAGCACTTTGTGCTTCATGGGAAAAAACCACAGAGGAAAGTTTAAATTTAGTAGAAATTTACTTTATGCAATAGTTCCTGAGTATATGAATATTTAAAAATATTTTTGTTTCTCTGTGCAGTGAATTAACGTAAAAGCAAATTAGTCATTAGATACTACCCATACAGTCCTCTCTTGTAGGTCAAGATGGAAACATTTTAATGGAGAAAAGATATCATTTATTTACAAACACTTCAGTTAACTGAAGAGACTCAGCCTAGTTAGCTGAACTCAAAGCTTTCTGAGGTCACTGTGCAAAGGAAAAAATTTAAGTAATCATCAGAATTAATCATACTGACGCCTGTTTGTCTGATAGTTTTTAGAATATTGTGGGAAGCTAACAGCAATGAAATTTGGCAAGTAATTTGGAATTTGTGTGTGTTTGTGTGTGTGTGTATGTGCATTGTTTTATAAAATGTGGCCTTTAAACTTTCAGTGAAGCTTTGGCCCAAACCCCATTCTTTGACATTCTGGACAATTCAAGTTCTCAAATTAAAAAAAAAAGTCTAAACACCAGTTTATGAAAAGAAAGAGAATCATGATAAATTTAATAATGACACATGCTGTGAAATTCTATAAAATTATTGTCAGTTATAGAATAAATTTATTAGATAGCTGATAGTGTTATTTCAATAACAGAAGTTAGGTAAGAGATACACTTCTGTATTCTCTAAGTAAATAAATAGCATGACTTAAGAATCACACGTGTAGTTAAATGGTACTTTCCAGGAACATTTCAGGAAAGGCACAATATCAGGATGTCTTTAGCAATTAGAAGATAGGGTTCAGTGCTATGATCTGTAGATAGCACCATATAATTTCTACTTGAAAAAATAAAATCTATTGAATCTTGGCACAAATGTTAGAACCAGTGAGAACCACTAATGTTGAGGTGGTAAAATGAATTCTCATTTAACTGATGGTCAAGTTACAGCAATGATCTAAGTCTGTCAAATATCAAAAACAAAGAGGTCTTAAACGTTTTTTGAATGACTATTTCTGATCATCTGTTTCTAGGCAATCTAGAATAAAGGCTTAAAATCTAATATTCAAAACAGAACCCTTTAGAAGAAAAAATTTGGACAAGTGAAAAAAGTCTCACAAGGACTTACATATATTCTTCTTTGTATTTCCATAATTTTAAAGCAGACTTATTACCTTCTTTCATGAAAATGCAGAGAATGTAAAGGACTTACTGTACTTATTCCTAAACCCTGCAAAGCAATAGGTTTGAACAGAAAGCAATAGAACCTAGCTGCTCAGCTCTCCCAATAATTTAAGTTCATCAAGTACTTCACTGGTCTTCTTTTGTCTAAATGTTTTTCATCATTCTTATTATTTGAGTCCAGCTTTCTATCCCTGTCATCCTTATGGCATTTCTCTGAACTTATTTCAGATTCTCAAATTTTTGGTAAATTATTCAGCCCAAAAGGCAATGGACATTTTTAGCTCTTGTCATTACAGGATGTTTTGTTTTAATAACACTGTTGGTTACTAAATAGTTTGAGTATAACTTTTTGAAATTTTTGTTGAAACCAGAAAATTATGCTTGTCATTCTAACAGGAACTCAGTGCCAACATTGAGGATGTTAGTATAATTTACCCACTAATGAAATATTATTACTTACCTGATTATGTTTTTAAAAGTAGCTTTGTTTTGGTAGTGACACATTCAGGCACTCAAAAAACATTTACTAATCTTTTTTATATGATAATAAATTGACCTTTCCTAAAATGGTTATTCAGTTAGATTGATGGAAAAATTCATTTAGCTGTAAACACAGACTTCAGAATTTAATAGTGGATACAAATAGCATGGCTGTCATCTCTAATTCATTTTGAATGACTGACTTCTATTGAAGGTGTTCTTGTGAGCAGCGCCGCAAACCACTAGTGTATAAAAATAGGCGATTCATTTCTTTGGGGGCCTATTTTTCAGACCTCAAAACTTTGAATTTCAAAATCATGCTATTGCACCATATTTATAAAATTTATCCCTAATTTTAATCCTGGCACTTTAAAGTTTATATGAAATGCTGTTGCCTTAAAGGAAAGGGAGGACAGAAATGAGGAGAGAATAGAGCTAAGCCTATACCAGACATTCGTTTTTATATACTTGAGACATATGGCCTGAAGGAAATTCTGCACAATATATCCTGTAATTTTGTGTATTGTTTAGTTGCAAATTAATATGATAAGCAGCTGAGTATCAGGAAATGGGTTCTCAAGAAATGAGGAAGCATTCTGTGCAACAACTTTTAAAAAATGCTTCCTCTAGCTG